GATTGAAATACTTCCCCACCGACTGATTACACAGAGTATGTGAAACGGTTCCAACTTCAGAATCTGTTGGCTCTGTGTGCAAAAAGAAAATGCTTGGAAAAGAAAAAGCAGTCGGTTCACTGTGATGTAAGAGTTGCCATTTCACATCCTTCAATCATTGTAAGGTCACAGTTAATCACGCATAGCAAATAAACTCGTCATAGTTGTCAGAACAGACGGAAAAACTACCATGAATAAACCACTGTCATCACATCACCTTCAAACTCTTATAAATTTACAGTGTGGAATTGCTAGCCTTTCACCTCACCAGATGGTAAACTAGGCGAGGACTACGAGTGTGTAGAGAGAGAATCGAGCCCGGACCTCATCAAACAGACAACACAAATTCTAACCAGTCAATGGAAATCAAATGCAGGCAAAGATACGACGACGACCAAAATAAGACAAGCAATACAGACAATCAGCAAAATCACAGATATTGTTGTGGTGTTCTTTTTGATCAAACTTGCGTACACGTATATCCTAGTACTTCTTCGCGATTATTATTGTGTCCTAACGTTGTGATTCCTCAACATCCGCAACGTAAATCAAAAGGCAATTGAGACGGAGTACGAACGTGTATTAACGCAGTAATCAAAATTCAAAAGTTGAGCGAGTACAAAAGTATCAATTGTAACACGCAATATTTAATGATAAACAAATCAAAGTCCAATTACATAGTGAAAGTATACTACAAAGATGGATAATAAAATGGGTCACTACAATATAACAAAAATCTATTGTTGTAAAGCATAATACTGCTAGTATGTATTGTGTTTATTATACACATTTACAGAGTAAAACAAAAATACTTTGAAGGTGTAAAAACCAAATTAGCAAAGAATAGGTCTATGTACGCACAGGCAAACAAAGAGGAATAAATTTTTGGAAAACACTGTGGAGAGAATTAATTCTGATAAAGTTTCACATTGTTTTACAGTAATATTTACCGGGGACTTTCCGAGAACAATTTATTGCTCATAATCATATCATGGTACTCACACAACTTTCTAACTCCGTTTCTATAATTCCATTATTTTGCGTCGCTTGATTTGATTGGTAGTAGTATTTTCCATGCCTCCGGTATTGACGATGGGTCATTCCTACTGTGCATGTTGGGTGTAGATTCTATAAAAAAAGATTCAGTTATCAGCGCTCTCCCAACCTTTTGTTTGGTTGTATGTTAATGCGTGCAGTTTTGACCTATGTAGTTGAACTTACAGCAATTGCATGACACTTTGTGGATTATATTATTTTGTGTAAATGTGTCAACAGGGTCCTTTAACCTACAGAGCTTGTCCCTGAGTGAGTTTGTAGGTTTAAATGCCACCCTAATTTCTGTTTTATTAGGAATCCTACGTAAGGTCTCAGCTGTCCCTTCCTTATATGGTAAAACTGTAGATGACTAATATTCTTTCTTAATTATGTTATCATTACTAGTTTCACCATTATTTCTGTTTTACTTTTGACCTTTTCTAATCTTCTCAATGAATTTCATAGGGTAACACCAACTCTTATTCTATCTGTTTCATTTCATCATTTGAGTTTTTTGGTGTACTTTAACGGCAGAAGACAAGAGACTTGGTAGAAGAATGTTTATTTGAGATATGGTGTTGCTATATTACGTTTGTACAAATCTTTCGTGTTATGCTTCTTCTATCTTTCACATTGTGTTCCTTTGACATGTCCCATATATCTCCGCAACGCTGGACCATTAACATTCTCTGACACTGAATCTATCTCCCTGTTATTTGACGTTTTCGCGCCGTTGAATCAAATGAATGGTCGCTTCCCTGTGTTGTAAAGCAAACAACGTTCTTAAATGCCTTCGATCCATGAATCTGTTCCAAAGACTAGTTTCAAATGGTGTACCACATATTATTCTCAGAGAATGTGCAAATACTCTACCTCATCCTACCAATAATCTTTCCAATGTATCATTCGTCAGAAACATTTCGCCAGACACTCTGAAGGACGCCAGGATTGTCCCACCACCTGAATCATCTACTCGATTGTATGCTAAGTTTCCACCTATTAACATAATCTCACACTTTTGGAAATTAATGGAAAGTCACACTCACTCAGTCCCGAACTTTCACCAAACACTTCTAATAACCCAAGAGAATTTGTTTACGAACACACTAGACTTACATGAATGCTGTCGTTACCTTACATCATGATATTGATTTCAATTTAAACGAAGACGCCATACATGTTCTGTGTGACTTAATCGGTTACACATCCACTTGTGTGTCTGCACCTAAAGCTCATGTGCGATAGGGGTGTTTTGGCGAATACCGGGTGCTGGGCTGATACTGGTAACATTCTGTTTTTGGAAAGAATCCAGGGTATTGCATTCGGAGGATGGTCTTTAATTCTAACAATTACCGAGGCAGGTGTCTCCCATAGTTATGTTATCCACCCTATTCGTCTTTCTTCCATCTTACATGACTTGCATCCAGCTGATGAAAGCAGTCTTCTCAGGTATCCTGATGATCTGAGTGTTTCTGTGACCATTCCTTCTCAATCACATTGTTCTAAAATGAATAGCTTTTCAAAGAAGTTAGCCGGTGATCCTTGTCAAATGGTCTTAAGCTGAATCCTTCTAAGTGTCAGACTATCAGTTTCACATTCAGACAGAAACTAGTAGTTGGTTCGTTCCTTTTATTTTTTTGAACGCAGTGGGAACTGAAGTAGAAACTGGCTCAGTGGATTGAGTTTTCCCCGTAATCTTTTCTTGTCATCCTATATCCTGTTGATATCGGAAAAAAATGGTTCGTCTTGCCTTAAACATAATCAAGTCATAGCACCCGAACTCCACTTCGACTGTTCTTGAATACCAGAGGATTCTTAGCGGCCTGGTTGGTACTCACCTATCAACATATACATTATCATATAACCGATTCGTGAATTAAGAAGGAACATGTCACACAAAACAAGGTCGAATTCAATGTCGATGAATGGAGTGATATTAGTACAAAATAACAACCCATGAGCTTCATGTTTATAAGACAAACACTGACGACAATTTCATTACTAGTTACGAGAATTCGAATCTTCAAACTTGCTCAGAAACCTTCAATAATGCCCACCAAAACATCGACTTCACTCTAGAAGTTGAATCGGACTCCATGTTCACCAGTGAAGAAATGTTGCAAACTCCTTGCGTAAACGTGGAACGAACAGTTAATTCCTGCTAAAATCTATTCGACCAGTACGTGGAAGAAAGACCAGTACGCACAATAAGCCACAACAACATGCGTATTATACCAGCTCCCTATCTGCTGTGGAACTCATTACATCAGCCGTACCACGCATCCGATTGTAAATCACACACAGGAACACTATACAACTGGGAAACCAAACGGAGGACGTAAGTGTGTCTATAGTTCCGTAGCGGAACATTGGATGAACTCACAACACTCAGCTCCATTCGACAAATCCTTCAGTTTTATATGATACCCGGCTGAACCTCTCAAACGGGGCGAGGTCATTACGTCTGTTCATAGATCAAACATCAGTGACTGGCTGGGAAAATTCAAGCCAACGCTATATATCGCAAGGAAGCACGTCGACCTTTGTCTTTTTTGTCGTGACCATCACAAACACTCGGTCTTCTCAATAGTTATTATCCGAACTTTCTGTTTATTTTTCTTACTATCACATTTTCAATCGTTATTTGCACTACATAGTTTTCTAATTGTTATTCGTTATGATTTCATCTGAGATCGGAAATGCTGTTAGATCTTTCTCACTCCTTTGATATATATATACTCAAGAATGTGCACAGCCCAGTCGACAACTCTATCAATCAAAAAGAAAACAATTACTTCACTGCAACCATTTCTTTGTATTTTGCCATCTGACTGTTCACATTAACTGACACATGATTATTCTGTATCAAACTTTTTTTTGTAATTTCTGTATTTCTGTAATTACATCACGATATATACAGTGCATCCAATTCGAGGAATCCCAATGAAACTATGGAATACATTCACTTCACCTTCATTACTTGTTTTGTGTTGTTCATCAAAACTGAACTAAATAAAAGACAGTTCGTATAAGCAGCAATTATACTCTCCCCTCATATACGTACAGATTCACTTGTGTAGTGGATTAAGTTCTCTTCGGAGACGGTGATATTAATTGGCGGAATCAGTATCATCTGCAACCGTCGTTGGTTGACATCTTTTGCCCTTCCGATCTTCCCTTGTATCATTCGACTCACTATTATCCAATGACAAAACAGGTGGAGAAGGTTGCTGGAAAAAAAGCGATAAATGTTAGTAACAGGTTATTCAATGCAAAAGGTGTTTAATTAAGCACTATGAATAAGTCGAAATCATGGAATACTAAAGAGAAGAGAAACTCTGTGTCAAGGTTATCCAAAGCTCAATATGGTAAACAAGATTATAAGGAAATGATGATTAAATCAAATCAGTACTGATATTTCGAAATTACATTTCATGTTCAGTACAGAACTTAAGCTTGTTAATCAAGGAGCAGTGTTGATGGTTGACTCTTGAAACCTTACAACATCTGGATTTCATGAATGCTCCATGACTCGTGCTGCGCAATCTCCAAGAGTCAAATACAGGTGTCACGAATGACGATGTCAAAGCCATTCAAGATCACAAAGGAAGACACCTGGGACAAGAAACAAGATCCGAATATATTCCAACGGTAATGTCAAATCACTGAGGAAACAAGCCTCACAGATTTGATACGTCACCGAAAGCATTTCCAACAAGGCTTCCGCCGACTGTCATCGATACCTGTCTTCGACAGACGCTGAAAATCAGATAGTAGTCAGAAAGGATAAGCAATAGGGAAAACCAATGTTTGGAAACAATTGGTGACATGGCTCAAAATCGTTCTCAATGGCTCAGATGCATCCACTACTTGTGATTTATGATTTCCAATGAAACTGTTTTGCTCTTCGTTATTACTGTTCCTTTGTCTCACACCTCTGTTTACTGTCTGTTTATGCATTTCTTCTACTTTCTTCTCTTGCTTTGTATGCTACATGGAGGGAGTGTGGCGACTTGAACTGCCGCACATCGGTTCAAAGTTCTACGTCGAGAACAGACAGAGACAGACAGACGCAATTTGGAATCCTTCAGTTGTACACCCGCATGACCCAACAGGCATACCTGAATAAGCATAAGGGTGAATGCTTAAAAATCAACAAACAAGAACAACGACAATGGCAACTTACAAAAATATCACTAGATAGTTTAGATGAAGATGAATCAAGCGATGAAGTGATCGACGTTAAGGTAGGCGGGTGATCGCTTGATACATCCAGTGAATTATCCCCTGACTCATTTGACCAAGGTAGCTATATATGGTTTAGCACAAAACAATCAATGCATTAACAGTTGTACAGTTAAAAGTTGTACATAGAAAACATCAACAGTACAGTGTATACCTCATATGGAATGGAATTAATGCAGTTCAATGAGAAGGTATATAACACTAAAACACGGAATAAATATACAATGAATTCAGCACAGAAGACTACAAGTATACATTGATTGATCACCGGAGAGTCCCCAGTGTCATACAACATCTGGTCGCTAGTGATCATGACGACTGAATTTTATCACAGTCAACTTTGCAAGCTGAGTGACCAGGTGGAGACAATCATCACCTGACGATTGTTTCCAACCATCTAATAGTAATTTGGACTACGAGTATATTGCTGCCACAAACACGCAGCAAATACATAGGTCGTACGGAAAGGCGATTGTCTACTCTCATGATGGAGCATTCGCCAAAATGGTTGAAAACAGCTGAGTGCAAAGTCCCAAAATCCTCAATAACAAAACATCTTGTGGATTACGGACATGATATCGACGCAGTCAAGTCATTCACCATTGTCAGCAAACAAAGAAACAAGAACATGCTTGCAATTGCAGAGGCTTGTGCAATTCGAATTTACAAACCAGCTCTCTGTATACAAAAGGAGATGGTCGTCACTCTGAATCTACCATGGTAATACGCTTTACTTATTATTCTCTACTTGTTATTACTATTATTCTACCTCTTATTATTATTCTTCTTGATGCATTTAAGACTATGCTTTATCCGTAAGATTATCCTAACTCACTTCAACACTATTAAAATTGTTATTATAACTATTACTATTGGTATTAGTCTGTTTGCAATTCTCGTTATATTCCCTAATGACTAATTGTTTATCTAAGTGATGTAATTGAAGCGTAATGCAATTTATCTTAATTTTGATCTCTCATACTCTCTCTCCCCTTATCTATTTGAACATGACCTGGAAAACATTCGCCTGTCTTTCTGCATGACTAATTCAATGTAGATTATTTACTTATCAGTCTTATATCTCCCAATGTAATTTCAAAAGTATATATATCCGTGTATGTAGAGTATTCAGCTGACGAGTTCTACCGAAATTTGATGAATTCATTAAATCCTGCTTTATTAACCCTTATTGCTTGTTTTAAAATAATAACCAATCTACAATATCTTTACATGAACACCACGGAAGCTGAACAGTGTTTGTGAGGTACACATACAGACACACACACACACACACACACTAGATAAACACAGTTTGATTTCTAAACTTAAATTTGTTCATGCTTTATTTTTCCATCTACTTGTGTAATTTATTCCACTATATTTTCCATCAGTAGGTGTTGTTTAGGAGTGTGATCAGTTCTAACATAGAACTCTTTCAACATGTAGTATATTCATGCACATGATGGATATGTGATATGACACATGAAATTAGGCAAGCACAGAGTGGAGTATGCACGTCACCTCCAAAGTGATTTCCGATTTCAAGTTGCATCAGTTAGATAACCACTGTACAGTTTTCTCTTCCTATTTAGGACTATCCAGCAACACACACTAATCACACCACCTGGGATAGAACCTAAGATCCTGAAGGTTACGAGGCAAGCCCGTCGACCATTCAGGCGATAAGACGGACTTCAATGACGTGGGAATTCTAAATTCTGACAAATCACGATACGTACTCCAACTCTCATTAGTAACTGACTGACTGAGTCCGTACTGCCAAACAGTTCCAAACTAAAAGGAAACAGTTGTCCGGTACTTTCTGGTGCCCAATGATCTCCTACCCGATTTCACTTCATCATCAAACTTGAAATCAAATCATATCTCCACAAACCAATACTTGACAATACCGAGTCATTAAATCCCCTTTTCTCGATAGCTAAAAATCTGATGATGAATAGGTAAATATTTGATGGAGAGGGAAATACACAAGTTAATTTTTATCTAGGATTCACCTCACAGTAGCATCTAAACCTCTGAGACTATTAGTATCTAGACAGAATTAACATTTATCCCTGGAGTGCTCATTATCGAAACAGGGAATTATTAGCATAACTGATTACACCCTCGTAGAGACAATGTAACTGCATAAACAATTTCCGACCGTGAAATTCTTTCACAGTGGCATTGTTTACTAACTTCTACTTAACATTATTGTTGCTTTCGACAGAATAAAGTAATTCACGAAAAGAATACACTGAACCATAATAATACATAGACGTTATTCAACAATACTCACTGAAGTATTCATGTTTGAATAGATAGGCGTTGATGTGGAACTTGGCTCTGGAACGTCTATTTGCAATTGTTGATCCCATTGTTCATACAATTCGATAGCTATACGATATCTAATTGTATTACATGGTCGTGTCATTGCAGTCTCAGCTAGTTGACGCAATAAACGATGTATAAACTGTTGCTTAGATGTAACCAATCCTTTATTCAAATCACTCGCGACAGGATCTAGTAATTCATCGATCAATTCTTTTATTTGAGATTCCGACAATTTATTTCTACTCAGATGAAAGATTTACAAAACGTTACTTCGGGTAAGTAGTGTGGTCGAGTAAAATACTGAAACCTAGAAATACTTTCATCGTCAAAATTAAAATAAAATATAGAAGTGAACAATATTGTTTCTATGGGCCATTGGTTTCCATTCCGGATGCTGAGATCGAGAGGCGGAGGCTTTCGTTGATGACCTGTAAGTCGTGAGCTCGACCCCGCTCATAGTGTCATGGGTGAGTGCCGCTAAATAATCCAGAACTAAGACAAACCACCTGCCCACTACTTCCTGCTTTTCAATGGTTCTCTAACTGAAACCAGCACTCAAAAATGTTTTCTTCGAAAACATCTGTCTCCGGGGCTGAACTTCAATATGCATGGCTTTAAGTATATTTATAAGTAAATATTACCATAGGGTCTCGAGTCATGAATGGGTGTTGTGTGTCGCCGAAAAGCACACAATACTCAAGTATGGTTATCCACTTAACCTCAACTGAGAAACAAGGTGAACCTGGAAACTTCTCTTTAGGGAGTAGCGAGATTGTTCGGTTAATTTGGGAGGACTCGCTTGTATAAAAGCAGCATCGAGTGCTAGGGTAGAAGAATCCTTACTTGACTCGATCACAGTGGATGTTTTTATTTTCGCTGTAATGTTTAGCGAATGATAAGTTGGAAAGTGATACAAATCGATGTCTTTTCTCAATGTACACTTACGACCCAAAAGACCGCAGTTTTGGACAGTTCGCTGCTAAAACAGGAACGCTCAGATATAGTCATTTTAGCAGTTGACTTCAATCCTCGACTATGGGAACTGCACCAGTCAAAAAAGTATCTTGACAGCAGCTATGGAGTCCTGCATCGACGAACCGACAACGGTGATTGTGTTTGACAGTTCTATATTTCATCAGCACCCAATTCAAACATACGGGAAGCCATTGCCTAACCCCGTGAAACCCATTATCAAATCAACAATGATCTCAAATAGATCACGCAGCTACAAGCTATAGATTGAGATGGTCGGTGTATAGGACTGTCGCCCCTCCTGGAAGACAGCTTTTCATTCTAATCACTCTCCAATCTGTGCATATATATTCCTGTTATTGGACTGTCAGCAGAAACAAGTAACTTCGAAGCTGATACTCATCCAACTCGACGAGAACATAAAGTCTTTATTCAGGGAAGAAATAGATAAAGGTGTATCTCGGATTGACAGCAAGACTTGTTCAGAGGAAACCTGTCTAAATGACCACAAACCAAAGATTATTAAATACCTGTGAATATCACAGCTTCATCCAAAATGACAGATGCAGTCAAAAGGTTCCAACAAGCTAGGCGCGAAAGCTGCTTAAGTCCAAGCCACAGGTGCCACATCGTTTCATTTCTAATTCAGAATATCACTCCTGCTGAGATGCATAAGGAAGTCAGAAGGATGAAAGGTAATATGAAACAGATCGTACTCTAGTATCACATTCACCTGAGTACACTGTTTCTACAGGTAAAAACAGAAGTCATATATTCGGTATTCAAACGATTCTCCGAATAATAAACCGATAGCCCAAGATAATTCAGTAATCTGTTATTCACAGATGACTATTATTTTTCAAAAACTTTACCGCCGTAGTATTCCACCGCTCTACAGACCAGCTCATTCGTATGTGTGTATGCGTGTGTGTTTGGAATCGAACTGGAAAAAAACATGCAATCAACTATTTCCACACAAATACGAACCTCTGTGTCAATTAAACACACTAAATAAATCACTGTAGATTCAAAACAGTGACCTCAAACTAGTAAAAACTCAAATTATAGGTGGAATTTCATAGACAAAATACAGACGACCGATACTCACTTGGAACGAGGAGAAAGCGCCAAACGTTCATTCTTTGACATCAACGTATTCACAATTCGTTCACTACCACTCAGAACTTGATTCGCCCAACTACGCCAATCAGTATCATGAGAAGTACCATCAAAAGATGTTTCTATTAATGATTCATTTAAATCTTGAGATGAACAATTAGGTGTTGAATCTGAAGAAGACACAACAACAAGTTGAGTACCTTTCCGACTCAATCGAAGTGTAAGACTACGATTTTTACGACCTCCTTCGGTGGACGAATTATTCGACTGGCGCGGTTCATCAACCACAGTTTCAGAAGTCCTCGAAGTCAAATCAGGAGTATTCGGCTTGTCCGAACCACTGTGAGATGAAGTAAAACATTGGAAACGATAATTTAATCACACAGCCGAAAATAGCAATCATGCAACAGTTAATACATACATATTCTCTGCGAAAAAGGATATGCTGTTGACAAAAAACAGACTGTGAGTAGAATTCCTTCTACCACAATCAGTATACAACAAAAGAGACTATTCCTACTACCTCAATCATTAACTGGAAATAATGGGGAGGCTGAGAGTGTGATTCGCAGACAAAACTTGGAGCGTTTATATATCCCAGAAATGACTATGTAAGAAAATGATACTGAGTAGTTAAAAAGAAAGCCCAACATGCCTCTTCAGTGCAGGTTTCTTCATGTGCTTGTCAACCAGCTACATTTCATGTGTGAAATGCCCACACTATTATTCGAAGAATTCACAATAAAGCAAACAAACGAGGGTTCGAATCCGGGAGATGACGCCATTGTCTAATGGATACTCACTCCCAGTTGAATCCTGGTTTAATATTTCGAAGAAATTCAACAGCATGACAAGAGACACTAATCACGTTGAAGTGGATGAAAAAGAAGGGATTATTTCCCCACCTACATTTGGCTACTCGTTAAGACAAACTTGAGGAATTTAAACCCCAGATGAGTGTTAGGTTGTGCTACTCTTATTCTAAGAAGACTGAGAATATTACCCGGAGTGAATCAGCACCTTGGACCCTTCGGCTGAAAGTCGAATGCCTAGGCCAGTCAGCTACATCTCCATAGTATTTTATTTTGAAAACACGCTCAAAACATAGCAATTTGTGTTCACGTGTTGATTGTTCATGCAGTCAGGTTTGTGCAGAGATGTCACCTGGGCTAAAGACAACCAGTGGTGTTCATCAATGACGCATAATGCTTCATCACAAACATACTTATGCATGTCACACTGATCGTCTCAAACGACAGAGTGACAAACTTATCAGTAGGGAACAGTCTTGCCTATTTTGCGTATGCACATTATATACATACCTCAGGTGAAGACGCTTACGAAATGCAGTCTTCCGACCATCTTCGACACAAATATGGATACGTTTGGCAAGCGGTTTCCACCAATCAAACGTAAGATGATGGTTTATTTTCAAAGTTGTGATTGTGCCTTGTATGAAGTTTTCTGAAACCTGCTGGTGTTTCGTTTTGTCCAAAGCTGTATCGTGCTACTAATGCTGATTGTATCAGCTGCTCTTTCTTTGTCCGATGTTCGTTGATAGAGACAAAGGAGTGTTCAGCTGACAGCCAGCCGCTACCCTCGAAATAGTACAAGTCAACAGCCTCTCCAATCGCATGTGCTGACGATACTCAGGAGAACAACGGTCCAGTAGGCAAATGTGGGTGAATTAGTATGCTGTTTTGGTAGAATGCAAAATTAAATTGTAGCATATGTGTTTATGTTGAAGGTACATTATCTGTGATCCTACTGCTATGTGATTGCTGGTGTTGATGTACGTAGGAAAGTGGAATTATCTCAGGTGAGCATGCATCTCATTGGCTTTAACACAGAACTCCTAGCCAACAGGTTCACGTTAGAATTTCGCTACATCTATTTCAGTCTGATAAGTGATATTATCACCCCTCAGACTAGAAGTCTTTCTAATAGCACTGTATCGGATAAATGACGTCTCACCAACCATTTTATGAGATGCCACCTTTCTACTCAGGAGGATGCACGAGAATAACTACAAAGAAACCTATTTTTAAACAACCGCTACACGACCATTCCACAGCTACATTCACATTAAGGTTTGTTTGTCCACTCAGATTAAATTTCTCCTATTAAACGGTTTTAAGAGTGCACTACGAATGTTCCACTTAACTGTTCATATGTTTTATGTTTGTCTATGCTGAATGACTGACTTTCAACACAGAGCTCCGCTCAGAAGTAATGTGGCGGTTCACGTCGCCATACTTCATGTAGCAGGCACAGTTTGAGAAGAGAAAGGAAACAAAGTGAATGAATTTGTGCAACTAAGAACAGCTGACTCTGAACCATATTACCAAAAGCATTCTGGAGACCACACCCAACCCTTACCGAAATAAACACAGAAAAAAGACGCATTTATAAGAACGTTTCTTTATAGAATCGACATGCAATGAGTCTCAGATAATTTATTCAGTACATCTTTTTAGGGGAAATCAGATAGAGTCGCTTATTGGGCGTACTTACAGTAGATGACAAAACGAATGTGAGCTGAATTTTACTTACGATTCACTACAGTCATGTTCAACAGATATATATCTAACTATTTATTGCTTCCCTCCTTTATATTTCCGGCTTCTTCAGTATTCAATGGCGAAACCTAACATCTTTATTAGACAGAGACAAGGCAACATCTGATGCAATGCAATTATCTTCTTCAGAATTCAAAAGATACGCCTCATTCTCATCAATCGTTTCTGTGACTTGTTGATCGTTATCTAAAGCACAGTAGGTAGCAGTATCGTCAATTGGAACAGTATTGTCTGATTTATCATCTTCTTCAATCAGAAAATCTTCAACATCAGACGCATACATAGCGATTGTGGATGGTGTTGACGAAGACGTGTCTGTCTGCATGTCAGTTGATGTCTCTTCATACAGGGAACTCTCATCATCCGATTTATATTCGCCGTCATCATCATCATCATCACTAGAAGTATAAGTAATTTCTTGTTTCTCGGACACAGTATTTCTAATCATATTACTGTTTTGCTTCTGATGAGGTATCATGGAACCCGATAGCTTCGACTTCCGAGTGATACCTAAAATATGAAATAGGAAAGTAAATGAAATGCTTCGGAGACTGATAACTACCTACAATATGTAATACAATGTTAACATGTTTGTGTACAGACAGTGAATCGATGCCACTCATAACTAAACACAATGTGTGTTCTCTAAGACGATCAAACAGTCGATGTGTGAAACTTCTCAAATAAGCACCAACGTTATATATTCAGAATGAGAATCTGAAAGCAGTATAGTAGTTCCTTTATCCGTATATATCATAAGGGTGACAAAATAAGTGGAAAAGTGGGGACTTATCAATAAATAATAACGAGTTATTCCAAACCCAATTTCTGGTAGTAAAAGACACGAGAAGAAACCAAAATATTGAAATGGTATAAAACACTCATCCAAAGGAACCAGCTACCTGACACAAAGTGAGGTAGGATTCGAGGAATTGACTGGGGACTCCATGGCGGAACGAAGGCGTTTCGACGACCTATTTTGACACTGCTGCACTTCACATTTTTGAAAATAGTCTACCGTGTGTGTACGACAAAGCAGTACATCTTTATCAGTTGCAATACGGATGCTGTTCACCGTCTTCCTCATGAAAATATGCAAACACTCTACGAACCAAGTGGCAAGCACTGAATGTCGACCATCCATACAACTTCTCCGACGTTATATCAAATAAACTTAGCCAATATGGAATTCATTTCACTAAGTTATTTCTCACGATGGTATATTAGTACAGAATCCAACCCCGTCCTTTACATAGATATTTGTATTCGGTAATTCTGGTTGATTTAACCCAAATGAACAATCCGTCGAAGGCTAATCTGTTTCTTTTATCCCGATTAATTAATTTCTTTCACTTCTGACAGATAAGTAACCAATGTTGATTGCAATAAAATGTACTATGGAAGAAGTTATACCATGTCTAATGTAAGACAATTTTATTTTGGTATATGTAATACTCTATACACAACAGACTTACAAACCTTGCCTAGTTTATTAGCCGATAGTAAGACCCAAGTAAAGGGGAGGTTAGAAGCCATATTCTCTAGTCCGTAAGCAAGAAACGGCAAAAAGGAAATACTCTGTGCCTAACACAAACCGTTACGCCCACAGAGAATAGTGGAAGACTGACAACAAGCTATTTATTCGACGATGGTCTGTGTTTATGGTAGGTTATGATTATGCTTGAAACAAATAGAAACTAAACTGATTTATTAATGTAGAACTTTCCAGACAAGCGTATCACTTTAAATTGTCACACTTTCACAAAGCACAGACATTCTTTCGAAAGGAATATAAAGGTAATATTGGAAATTTTTCTCAAAGGTTATAATACAGGAACAACAATGAAAGGGAGCTCACTTTGACTTACGCAATTTCCTTTCGAGGTACGAGTGGAGGATACAGAATTTTGACGCTGATTTTTACGCGAAAAGTCGTTCGATAATTTTTTAGGTTTTTTACTGCATATCCCATTCAGATTGGATTTTTTTGAATTCGGTGAAAATTTACTGTTGCTTGCTCTCGACATATACCTTCGTTTCGTTGCTTCAGCAGCACGTGAAGCAGCTGTAGTGTGACCCGAATCGTGTTTACCAGACTTAAAATCCTTAGATTTTTTAGCCGAACGTATGGAATGAACTCCAGGTTCTCGACGTGGTGATGCTGCTTTACCTTGTAAACGGGAGGAATTAACAGAACCGACTGCAGTGGATGGACGAGATCTACTTGTCACACTTCCAAAGGCCTTACAACTGTTTATCGGACCAGGAGCACAGTACCATGTTGAATCAGGAATCCGATAAAAATCTTGTATTTCTCTCACTAATCCGAGAAGGTTTTCGGCACCCTGTGGACTACTTTCAGCAGATACGTTTCCCGAATCTACATTATCTGAGCATTTTATCCCTGGTTGGCGTTCTAATTCATTGGTAGTTGTATCTCCAGCAGAAGTCGCAGTTTTCGAAGGACTATAGATTTGAGAAGTACTCTTGTTGGGTGTAACATTTTCCGGTTTGTTTTTTGATTCGGTGAAAGACTTGATTTGCTCTAACAAAGTGGGCAACTGACTGTCGTACATGCCAGATTCCACGTTCGAAATAATACTTTTCAATGAACTAGGAGGAAAAATACGAGTTTTCATATTTACGGTGATAAATAACAATTTGTTATTCTAGCTTCTCAGACACACAAGCTCACTTCATAATACAAGTAATAAAGTCTACGAGTATTGGGGAATGATTTGACAGGCAATCAAATTTTGCATTAATTTATATCACAATCGAATATCACTATGTGAACCCTGTGAACTATGTCCCACGTTACAATACCACCTTCTCTGCAGGATACATGACCATCGAGGTATAAACTCGTAATTCAATAGTTCGAAATCAAACACATGCATTACTAACTGGGTCACAAGTCGACTATGTGATATACATAATATGAGGGGAAGAATCACCTACAACAAAAATGACAAGTATAAATCAACTACTGGTAATCACGAGACTGTATCGAACATACAATGGGTGGCTGGAAAACAAATTTATTTACCTGTAGTACTTCTGTTCACGTTGTATTCGCGACCTTAATTCTTCTGCTCGTTCAGCACTTAGACGCTTCACAACACGCTCAGCTAAACTCAGCTGACTTGACTGTGAGTCACTCCCCGGCATATTTTGTCGCTTGACCAATTCAATTGAATCTAGAAGTAAGGCGTACTGTTTCGCACATGCTCTAGGCGAACACCATGTAGGTGGCCGACCTGGTTTAGAAAATGGCATCAGACGACGACTGGTAGAGGACCAGGTTCCCTGCTGATTATCTACGTCTAAAAGAGCTGTAGCTAATGCCAACCGCTCACGCAAAGGCCATACACCTTGACCATATCCAGGTCCAAGAAGTTGCTCTGATGGAACAGGCGTGAGTGGCTCTTTATCCATGAAATATCTACAAATCAACAAGGAAATGTAAAAGCGGAATAATTAAGCAAAAGGTAACAATAAACTTTCGCTAAAATAAGAGTAAGACATACACCTACACTTAAGTAAATCATAAACATAGCCATAGCTAATGTATCTAACAGTTGCCATGCATCATTTTAATAGACACAGTACAATCTGTAGAAACTGAAATCATGATTACCCATTTAACCTATAGGAACTACGGGAACTGCCACATGAATCTCTGCAAACAATTACAAACCACAACTCTATTGAAACATGTGTCATCCACAAGCTAGGCTTCTCAGCATAGTTTCCCGGAGGAGGGTTATTCTTTGTGAAGAAGAAGATAAACGTGAAAGAGGCCAAATATCAGGGATTGAAATACTTCCCCACCGACTGATTACACAGAGTATGTGAAACAGTTCCAACTTCAGAATCTGTTGGCTCTGTGTGCAAAAGAAAATGCCTGGAAAAGAAAAAGCAGTCGGTTCACTGTGATGTAAGAGTTGTCATTTAACATCCTTCAATCATTATAAGCTCACAGTTAATCACGCATAGCAAATAAACTCGCCATAGTTGTCAGAACAGACGAAAACATTACCATGGAAAAATCACTGTCATCACTTCGGCTTCAAACTTTTATAAATTTACAGTGTGGAATTGCTAGCCTTTCACCTCACCAGATGGTAAAGTAGGCGAGGACTACGAGTGTGTAGAGAGGGAATCGAGCCCGGACCTCATCAAACAGACAACACAAATTCTAATCGGTCAATGGAAATCAAATGCAGGTAAAGATACGATGACGACCAAAATAAGACAAGCAATGCAGACAACCAGCAAAAGCACAGATATAACGAAAATCTATTGTTATAAAGCATAGTACTGCTGGTATGTATTGTGTTTATTATACATATTTACAGAGTTAAACACAAATGAGTAATATTTTAACGGTGTAAAACGCAGACAGGCGAATAAATCTATATACACACACAAGCTTACCCAGAAGCACAATAAGTAATAAATTTTGAAAGTAAAAACACTAGGAAAATGAATATTATTGAGATTTACAGCTTAAAAGATAAATTCTGTACAATAATTAATATTGTTAGTCAAAGTGTAACATTAAAAGGTGGAATGGAATTCACGTGGCCGATGATTACAAAACAAGAAATAATGAGCACAACTGTAAAAGCTTGAGCTAATCTGAATCTTTTAGAAAATTACAACGCTCAACTACTTCCGTCCAGCCAAAACGATTAACAAGTTCATCAACTACTTCTGTATCTTCTGAACTCAAAGATCTGTCATCATCAAGTAACCAAAGAGGTGGACTAAATTCTTCAGACGATGATGGCTGACGACGTTTTCCAGTTGTCAGGAAATTGTACGCTTCAATAACAGACCCATTAGTCATGGTAACAAGTAGCATAGGTTGTAGCGGTGTTGTTATGTAGGGGGAACAATTTAATAACTGTGAAATCCATTCTGGATTATTTGGCGGACGCAACGCTACAGATGAATCTGATGTAAGAATCGATGAATCAAGCTAAATAATTATAAGAGAATAAAAAAATGGCAATACTCAATTACTACATACAAAACGGATAAGAAACAACAAATGGTCAAATGGGAAAAAAGCAATGCAGTGAACAGGAATTCTCTTAAAATCAATCTCACAATTTGCAAATTACACACATTTCGAGAGGAAGACATCAGTCTTACTTGAAAATCAGACCACAGTAAGTGATCTGATCGATACTACAGGTGGCAGTCAATCAAGTGAACAAGCCATGCTGGCTAAGTCAAAACAGGCTACACTACTGATGAGCTTGACTCTAGGGGGTTCGGATCAATCTGATCTGATTAACAAGCACTATTTGTTGAGGCAAACAGTATCCAACTACTTATATCACTCTATCAGTAATACATAACACCACATATGTTTTAGAGTAACTGTTCACAACCAGAAAAATGAAGAGGAAGAATGATTTGGGATCGCTTCATCTTTAAACCTCACCTTTATAAATCAACGAAGGAAGAGAAATACAACAGGTACGGTATTAGAGACGATTTCGGCCATAGATCATACACTCTTATCAATGAAGACTGTGGATACCAAGTATGCGTAGCGAAACAGTTCTTAAATGTTAATATACTTCAGAAAGACGCATCTATATTTTCCCGCTGTTGTAGATAAACGAAAATAATCAGAAAGATAGAGGCGAAATTTTTTAGTGGCTTTTTTGCCTCTTTTCTAAAGTGTGATGCACAAAGACGCAGTAACCCAGATATACTTAGGTACGTTAGATACGCAGAAAGTACTTATCAACTTCCTACTGTAAGTACTCCGCTCAACACCATACTTGACCCAAACACCAATATTGCAGACATGTAGGCGTGTAGACTGTGCTTAAATCGTTTCGAAGTCTCTCAAGTTGAATACTATAAACAGAATGTAGTGAATTCGCGAATGGACACAGTGAGATGAAATTCTACTATTTTCTCTGGGAGCGAAAATAGCTCAGATCATAATACGTGATCTGCTTGGTACCATAAATAAAGATCAAGTGAATAAGCTCTCTTAGTTGAGTCAAAACCGACTAGGCTTTTAAGGAACTTGGCTGAAGTGCTGAGACCATTCTGATTTGGTTAGTAAGCACTACTGATGGATGAAAGTGGTGTCCAACTACTCATGTCCCTCAATCTGTGAAATATACCATCCCAATAAATTGCATGCAATTATTTAAGGAATGAGATAGCAGGATACTTAGTATTGAAGCAATCCAAGTTTCCAGAGAGCGACAGCTTCAACAGTAGGTAGTAAGCTTTGAGACATGCCAAATGGTCTGGAGACATTAGTTGCCTATCATGTAACCCCAACCTAAACAGTAGGTAGTTACAGCCTACTGGTTCAAGGGATAAAACTTGGTCCGTCTAACAGTTTCTGTAATCCTCGAGCATTTAGTGGACTGATCACGACATTTAACACTTTCAAAACGAAAATGTTTCGTGCATAATCATATTTACTGAGTCCCCTTTAACCAAGCACATGTTTAACACTCGACAGACCAAAACTCGACCACTAGTACGTTATTGACCTACTATTTTTATGTTTCTTATACATATGGAGAAAACGGGTGGAGCATGACGATGCATAATCGTCCCAATAAGATCATGGTTTCACACTGCTTGAGAGTCCCGAACTAGGACGGAACAGCTGTCCCATATATATATATTCCCAGACTTGACAGTCAGGAAGATATGAGTTTCTTAATAAACTAGATACCACGCCCAACACGAGTGAAGAAATTTGTAAGATACCAAAAGTGGCATCTTGACTGAAATGAGATTGAAATTGATGTCATAGCGAGTAACTGTTAAGTCTACCGTTGGGCACTTCCGCCACCTATAGAAATTTTAGTTATACAAGTCCTTACAAATAGGGCGTACGGTTGCCAGCAGTTGTAGCTCCAAAAAAACTGGAGTCCGATCCAGCAGAACTGCAAGCAATAACTCCCTTACTATCACATAACCCAAAATGCTTATTGGTTTTTTTGGATATACAATACTGTGGCGTACACTATGTACAAACCTCTTAATCTTATTAAAATTGAGTAGTGTGCTGCCGAGAACATTTGACTACTTTCAACTTGTAGTTAAACCCACTAGATAGCGAAATAACTTCGAGAAAAATAAACAAACATGGAAATATGAAATCGTCAATTAATAACTGAATATAATAGAAGAACGATATTACTAAATGTTTCAATAACCCTTCTTAAAATATGGATTACATACCCTCAGAGATTCCTCTCCTCTAAATAGTTCATTATTCCTTCATCTTCCACCAAGCTGTATTGCTTTCTTGTAAATTGAGAAAACCGACTTTTAAGATTCGGCACATCGTGTTCAGTACCATACGCTGATAATATAATCAGTCCTGTGTTTACCGTTTGCATCAAAATCGTCATAATCTTCATCAGAATTTAAAGACTCATTGACCAAATTATTGTATGCCTTCTTCATATTTGCTTTGTAATCTTAAAGGCATTCATCTTCAAAACCGATCATAGTCGAATGCTGAGACATTTTTCTAGAGAAGAATGTTGCCTGTAGCAGTGCATTTATCCCACCTAGTTAGAATCGGTGAGCAGCATGACTATGCAGTTATATACTGTCCGAGCCACTGTCAGCAAATGCATATGTATCTAGAAATCCTTTACGACCTAAGATCTCATCTGGCATACACCCTTGGAAGGAACGTTCTAATTCTCCGCTAGCATGCATGGTTGACAGAATTCCATAACACGGTTGGTTTCCCATTTGGGATCCATACCATGCTACCTATGTAATGGAGATCTCCAAGAGCTAATGTCATAGTAACCACATCATTACAAATTCGAGCGGTGCACCTGCAAGTAATGCAAACAACACGTTGTCACCCAGAACGGACCACGAAGTCCAAACACCTGCATGGCCATACTAGACTGCGCGCAACTACTCAGACTAACAACAAAGGGATTGGAAAAACAAAGTTCAACCGAGAGTGGAACATAAGTCAAGCATGTACAACAGATGCCTCTCAACTATAAGAAGATAATTACCAAAGATCAAGTAGAATGTTTATATATTAAGTGAGAAGATTTCAACAGGAAACAAAAGTTTTGTGTACGAAGTTGACATAAATTTAACAAAACCACGCAGAGATCTAACTTCTCTTTGAAAGCGTTCGCCGACGGATCTGATACTAGTGAATCAGGTAAAGAGTTCCAGTCGTTGACCATTCTGTGAGAGAATCTAAATTCTGCGCGTATGTTAATCGTCCTAGGTTTGAGCACTTTTTTGCGGTTACCCTGTAGATGTATCCTAAAAGGGGAGAAAAGGTTAGAAAGGGCTGTTCCTAAATCACCCTTAAGTATACTGTATGCTAAAATTAAGTCGCCCCTCTCCCTTCGGTATGATAATGGGAAGAGATTTAAGTGCTCCATGCTTTTGTCATAAGGAAGGTGTGAGATACCACTAACAAATTTGGCTCCTACCCTTTGCACTCTTTCTAGGGTATGTCCCTCATTACTAAAGCATGAACTTGCCACTTTTATGTAATGTTCTAGATGAGGCCTGACATATGTTACGAAGACTACTTTGAACATAGACTCATTAAATCATTTGAAAGCTCTCCAGGTTGCCCACAACATTCGAAAGGCCTTATCTGCGGCTGCACTGAAATTTGCAGTTTTTTCAATTCATAGCTGACAATTGTTCTTAGGTCCTTTTGTCCATTAACATCAGGTAGTTCTGTGTCCCCTAAGGAATACGTCGTATAATACTTCTGACCCAAGTGCATCACCGCGCTTTTCCTAGAATTAATTTCCAGACCCTACAGGTTCGACCACTCGGCTAATTTATCTAGATCACTTTGTAAGGCCGACTTATTATCGCTATTATTTACAGTTTTCAGGTCTCAGTATCGTCCGCGAATACTAATGAAGATGAAGTAAGAATCCTCGGTAGTTCATTAACGTATAATAGGAATAGCAACGGGCCTAATAAAGTTCCATGAGGCACTCAACAAAATACCGTTTTCCACTCTGATAGAACAATGCTAACCCTAAAGGCCTGCTTTCTACCACGAGGTAATCCCTGAAACATTCACAAACGCACCGGCCTGGTCCTAAATATTTAACTTTACAAAGGAGAACGAAGTGAGGTATTTTGTCGAATGCCTTAATAAGACCGATAAAAACGGCGTCAAACAAAGGTTTTTCAATCGGCAATAAGCCCAGGCATCAATAGAAAATAGCAGATCTCAATAAAGTTGAAGATTGAACGATCAATTCATGGTTGTTTGCTCAAACCCAACTTCCCCATATTTTTCACGGGAGTCATCAATCCACCAGTCATCGTCTCATAGTTCGCTGTTCAGAAAGAAGATCAAAAAGCTGTCAGAAGTATCATCGTGATTGACTGTTATAACATTTATTAATAGAACTTGTGTGTAATAACCTTATTGTTGGTTACATATTGGCGTAGGAATAAATGATTCTCGAGTCACCAATCTGTGTTCTGGTTTTAAAGCCTTGGTTGATAGAAAGTGTTTCTGAAAGACTTCGAGGGACAGCATGAGGTCCAGCGTGATGAGAGGTGAACACCGAGATTTGCTGAGAGTTAGAAGACAGAATCTCAAAGATCTGTTCGTCTTTCCTGGTGCCTGAAAGTCTTATTTGGACAAGTATTATCTAGAAATTTTCTGGAATTTCAGTCAAGTTCAATGATGCCTGGGTCAAAGAAGGGACAGAGCGTCCTGGAAGCAAACAGGAAAGTAAGTCATGTTGACTTGTCTGTTACATGTAACGATGTATTTGATGTTAAGCATGATATGGTTGATGTTAATGTTAGAAATATCAAGCTCCCTAAGTACGAACCTCGGTGTTTCGACGGAAACCCAGCTGACTATTTACACTTTATAAAGGAGTTTGAAATCATGTTGAGTGGGTTTGCAATAAATGATGAAATGAAGCTGATGTATTTGATGAGGTACTGCACTGGAGTTGCTTCAAGCGATATACAGTGCTGTAAGTTCATGCCCCCTAACGAAGGACACTCTGAGGCTATGAGTATACTGCGTCAAAGATTCGGAAGACCTTCGATGATTGTAAGGAACGTATTCAAGGCTGTTAAAGGTAATGGTAGTCAATTACAAGATGACTCCAAGGCACTCTCTGAGTTTTTGGATAATCTGTTGACTTACAAGAATACGTTGATTTCGATGAATTGCATGAGTGATCTGAACTCAAGTTCCGTCCTAGAGGTAATAGCGAGACGCCTACCTACTCGACTGCAAAGGAAGTGGGTGAAGATAAGCTCCCGTATAGAGGATGAAGGTATTGAGCCAAATTTTGATGATATTCTGAAACTCGTAAAGGATAGTGTGAATCAATCTATGAGCAAGTTTGCCAGTATACTGCATCGCACCCCTAGAATAGAGCAGTCTGAGAGCAAAACGCAATCATTTATGAGGAAGGCTTCTCAAAGAAGTGGAGGTCGAGTAAGCTTTATGGTGTCTAGTAATCCATATAAACTTAGTGAGTGTAACAGCTTTCGTGGGACATCGCCAACAGATAGGTTACAAGTTGCGGGACAAACACGGTTGTGGTTTACACGTTTGCAAGAAGTTCATACAAAGGTGAACAGTGAAGAAGTGACCAAGTTTAGTGGTAAGCTAAATGTGAAATCAAGGTCTGACTCCAAATTGTGTGACGATAATGGTGCGGTCAAGGAGCCCGTAGTTGCAGCTGGTAAGCCATTGTTGAGTAGAGTGTAACAGACGACACCGCAGTTTGTGCAGGAGAAGAGAGTTACAGTCTCAGAGTGCAGTTCTGACCGCACAAGTTTACAAGGTATTACTAGTCAGAGTAAAGGTATAAAATCTTTAAGGATTTGTGAGGAAGAACCCAAATTGTCTACTGCTGTTATTAAAGAGTTTGCAAATGATGAAGTTGATCATACATATGGAGGTAAAGCGGATATTTGTGACAGTGGTCATGATAGCGCACATTTGTATTTGGGTGATCATGATGAGATGAGTGGAATGCCTACTACTACTACTGAGTTGAATAAAATTTCTGTACAACTTGAAGGTGAAGTAGACTTAAAGGCAAATTCGGTTGCAGATTGTATGGATACTCGTGAGACCGTCAGTGTAATTGGTCAGCGTGTAGCCCACCTGTTGACAGAT